GCTGGGCCGCGAGACAAACTCGTCACTCGCCAACGCGCACACACCCGCCAGCCGAACGTTGTCGTACCCCCGCCAACTGGTGAGAAACGACACCGAGCGACACGACACACGACAGCGACACGAGGTCTCAACAAGTGACGTCGATGCCGCCGTCGCGGGTGCGCAAGCGGTCGCGGTGAATAAGCGCTGTCTCGGACACGAGCGGACATAGCGGCGTCGACCCTGCCTGGGCCCACCCAGCGGCCGACGTACGCTGGCTGGCGGGTACGGCACGGCGCCATGCAGTATCGCCACTAGAGCGCGCAACGTCCGACGCCCCAGCACGAAAAAAAAACGAAAGCACAGCCCAGCATCACTCAGGCTCACGCGCAGTCGTATACATGAGCAAAAGGAATAGGGTAGCGCGAATAACGCGCAGGAAGCGTCATCGAGCGGCGGGCGGATCTCGCAGCGCGCCTTCAGCACACGGAGACGGTGTGGTGGCGTCGCAAGAGTCAGGCAGAAAAAAAAGGCGGACACGAGTGGCAAAAACAGGAGGAGCGGGAGACACCAACGGCGGGGAGCCGGCGGTGGCGACGAGTGCGCACCGTGGTGTGGTGGCGTCGCACATAGCGCGAAGCCGTAAAGCCGTCCCTGACACAGCATATCCCACGACGGACTCCCGCCCCGTCGGACCAAAGGCCCCAAGCGGGTAACACCGCCCACGACAACGGCTAACGGGGGTGCGAGCGCTAGGGAAGGCGGGTGGCGTTCGTCGCGCTAACCCAGGCATACACCGACGACCGGCACGACGCCCAAAAACCCGTCGGACGAAAAACCACAAGCAAGCAACACCGCCCACGCTAACGGGGCGGAAGGCGCGTGGCCACACGCGTATAGCGCACTAGGCGGCGCAGAGCGCGCACGCCTCCTCCACGCCCCCCCTAAAAAAAAACCGGCGTCCCCAATACCGCGCCCGAACCCCCAAAAAACCCCTCCTCGACGCCCCGTCGGAAAAAAGGAAAAACGACTCACCACCACATTCCCCACATTCCCCCCAGTCCCATTCCCCCCACTCATATATCCCCCCATAGGCGTAGACGCCACCCGCGGCGAACTAGGCGCGCTCCCGGGAAACCTCGCCTGCGCCAATGCGTGCCCGAGCCCCACGAGGAGCGCGGGGAGGCGGCGGCTTGGTGTCGTGCTCGGCGTCGTAGTAGTTGGTGTTGTTGGGGTGGTAGTTGAGGCGGGTTTGTGCGGCGGAGTCTGCGTCTCCATCGCTTTGGCCGTAGGAGTAGGAGTAGCTGTACTGGAAGGAGTCGAAGTGGCGGAAGTGGTGGCGGGCATAGCAGCGGTAGAAGTGGTAGTGAGAGGTGAGGCGTCGCCGTCGTCGCTCCTCAAACTCGAACGACTGGGTATGGGCGAGAGCAGCCCGAGGCTCTGCGTGTGTCGGTGTTGGTGCCGGCGTCTTTGCGTGCTGCGTCCAGCTGAAGGAGCACACGAGCAAAATAAGTAAGTCAGACAGGAGGGAGAGCAGAAACGGGGAGGGACGTACGGGAAGCAGATGCGTGCGTCGTATTCGTATCGACCGCGTCCATTGCTACTGCAGGGTGCTGCTTTGCGTATTACGAGCGGATGGAGTACGGTCCAGTCGTCGAGGGCGAGGGGCGAGCGTGTAGCACACGAGGCTGTTTGGTTTGCGATCGCCTGCACTTGTACTCCAGTCCAAGGTAAAGTTGCGTTGTTTACTGGTGGTGGCGGGGAAGTAGTAGCAGCAAGACGGGGGGGTGAGACTTTTTTTCGGGTCGTCACCAATTGGCAATACACAAATACACCGCGAATTCCCGGCGGGGCCGTTGCGGGCGGGATGGGGATACGGATGGCGAGTTGTCGGAAAACAAATTTGGGGGTGTGTGACTGTGACTTCCGAGACAGGGTTACCGTCAAAACCAACACACAGGAAAGCGCGGCCCGTTGGCTTGGGTTGGGCACACCGCGGGATTGGAATTGGGCGCGAGGCGGTGGGACGCGACGGGGCGCGTTGCATAATGGGTGACTTCCCGTAAGAGTTAAAAATTCGAGCGCATTATTTTGGCCTACCCGAGGGTGCCAGTGATAGCATCAAGAGTCAGGATATTCAAGCAGCGGTGGTTTCCCGCAAGCCACTTAATTTATTTAACACATAGGTTGTGGCTAGGATTGAGTTGCCATGAGCCACATCCTCACCCCTGGCATTCTACTGATCCTGTCGGTAAAACCAGTGGCGGTTCAGCTGGCTCGGTGTCCCATGCCGTCGATTGAACCCAAATTGAACCACGGTTGGAATCACTTGGGAATCAGAGTGAAAACCTTCCAAGGACATGTAATTTTGGGCCAAAGTACATGTACATGGACAGCTGGAGCTCAAGATGGATGAACAGCCCTCAGAACACGTCCGAAGGTGCGTGAACACGCCAAACAAGGTGATGGTTCAAGGCGGAGAGTTGCTCGACACGTTGATGATCAATCATTTGCGTCCCAAACGGTTATTCAGAGAAAAGAAAGTTTAGAAGGGGGGTACCTACCCCCCTTCTAGATCTTGGGTTTACTCAGTGATGGGGGAATTAATTCGACCCCATCTGGGTGATGCGATTTTCCGGGGTCCTGACAGATGCATCGGCATCGCGGCGGATATGCAGATTTTATTCGAAACGAGTTAAAAACTCTTACGGGAAGTCACCCAATTTAAATTGGAATATTAAATTAATTCAAATCCCACGTTGCGGGTTGCAACGGCGCGCGAACGCATTTAGCATTTCGTCGCGATGCAGAGCTAAGATGGGATGTCGGTATTTTGGGGAAGGTACGCGAGTGACGCGTCTATGATCTCACTCACCCGGGTGGGCGCATCAATCAATCAATGTCAAGGTCCGCCGATGCCGACTCCGCTTTGACTCGGCTTCTTCTCGAACGTCCGAGGAGTCTACTGAACAACCTCAACCTTTCAACCTCAAGTGCCCTCTCTAATTTAATGCAATGTAATGCAAATCAGCCCAAGAACCCCCGGGCTTTAATCTCCCGCCAGGCACCTTCATAACCTGCCTTCTCTTCTGTCACTGTGCACACCACACCTAGATTGTTTGAGGTACTTGGATGCCTGGCATCCAACATTCACTTAAGATCATGGCTTGATAGTGTAACGGTAACACATCCCTGCTCAGTAATTGGCCAGCCATCACCAAAATCGACCAGATCTTGGGTGACCCGGCCAATCCCGCCATCACGGGGATCCAAGGCAATATCCGGCAATCCAGTTCCAACTACGCCGGTGTCATTGCAATATAGCCAGAAGGATTGCGAAAGGATTGCGAAATTTCAGCAACCTTCCAAACGCGTTGGAATGTGTTGCCCGACAGTACAACAATTGGGTTCAACTTGAGCCATGGGCGGCATCCTCATGAGTTCAACCAATTGTCAGCAACTTGTGATGTTCAACCAAAGTAAGACTGCTATGCTTCTCCCCTGGTAGCCTTTGAATCAGTATAACTACATCGAACTACATGCCAACTACATGCTTTGGTTTGGTTGTATGGGGGGTAAGGCTTTCGTCCGTCCACCGGCAGCTTCAAGCTTGCGGCGGATCTTCGTAAATTTTTTCTGCTCAAGCAAGCTTGTTTTCCATAGTTTCGGGTCTCTTGTCCTTGTGGACGAGGCTTCTGAACGCTCTCGGAGGGTAAGTCGACGGGGTGTCAACGGTTGCGCACCTTTGACAGATGGCCCGTGCGCGATCAACTGACACAATGACAAATGATGGGGATCATTTGGTTCGTTGCTCTCTCCCCCCATGTCGCTCTCGAGTCTTCTCCCAGTGCATCCACCCCTGGCGCTATCGGACTTCCTCCCTACCTCCTCATGGCTCCCTCGCTGTCACTGCCTCTTCCCATACTCGGACTCACTTCAACTCCGACGACCTCGCGGAAACATTATCCGTGGTCAAGTCCCCGCCTTCGTCTGTGGCGCTTGCTCAAGCACTTCGGACTCCAGGCTTCAAGACTTAAGCCTGTGCTGCCCCTGCCACCTCGTCTCAAGATCGCAACCCCTGCCGGCGCCGTTCAACACGCTCTCAACGCGGTTCAAATGCGCACCTCTGAGTCAAACTTACTTCAATCCCAATTCAATCCTCTGGCCCGTGAACTTGACCACCAGACCCTCAATTTATCAACTTCCTCTCAATCTACTGCGCTGCTCAAAACACCGCGCCGCCCTCTCGTTCTTCAAGCCTGCTCTGATCTATCACCCGCCCCTGAATTCTCAAGTCGCCAAGCCTCACCCCTTCCCTTCAATTCACCGCAACTACTCTAACCCGCGGGTCGTCAAGCCGTAGGTTTTCGTGACGCACCAAAGCCCAAGTTCGGACCCGCGGTGCGTCTCTCTATCATCGTCTGATTTCCTGCATCGCTTCCCATACAATATCTCCACTTCGAACGTAGTTCTTTGTCGTATCTACTGTGCCCAATCAGTGTTTGGAATTCTTTCGGTGTGGATTCGAACGAGATAAGAGGCGAGGCAATCTAGGGAATATGTGCCTAGGGCTGGTTAGGTGTCCTGTGCAAGGACCTGCATTGCACGCAATCATGCTGAACTTTCACAATTTTGTGATGATTCCGGAATCACCCACCTCTTGCAAGGCCCGCCGGAAAATTCGGAATGATTTTGACCATTGCCAAGATTATTGCCGATTTTGATCACGGCAATGGACGGCAATGTTCTCCCGCTTTTCGTGATGGCCATGAGCGTCCAGGGAAGACCCTTGTTCGACTCAAGGTCAGGTGACTCAGGCCATGCATATTGACTGTGCTATTTTTTTTGCTTTTGCTTTTGCTTCCCAACTACGCCTTGCTCGTTATAAGCAACCACATTCACTGTGTACGCATAAGTCGAAAGAAGCAAGGAGGTTTACAAAACTTTCCAGGCAAGTAAAAATTCAACCCAACCAAACCATCATCCTGGTTGGGTAGAGACTTGGAAAAAGGCAATGGAATGGCTTGATGGTGTAATGGTAACACATCCCATTCCATTGTAGAAGTACCAGATGTTGTTAGGAAGTTCCTTGTTCGACTCAAGGTCAGGCCATATGCACTCAGCAATAGCTTTTTTGCTTTTTTGTGTTCCGACCGACAGCACAGTATGCAGTTCTTGGCCACCGGCAACCGTGGCTTTCCGATCGTGCGCTGACTCAGCCCCAGCCGAGAGCTTTGATGGCAAAGACAGTTTGTACAGAAGAATAATCTCTGTGCCTTACTAGCTTCAAGGAGAGTTCAAGCTTCCATTTAAGTGCAAAAGAGATGCTCCTTGTATATTTTCCTGGGCCATTTGGGGCAGTCATCCCGTCCATTGGTGTCTTCAAGTCTATTTGGTTGTGTTATCACCGCCATCCAAATCACGTTTAGTACGGGCCGTGCGGCACCCAATATGGGTCCAGAAATTGGTCAAAATGAAGTCTTGGTCCATTTTGTATGTCTTCTTGGGAACAAAACACGAAAATTGTGGGCGGAAATATGATTTTCGGAGCGGTTCTCAAGCCAGTTGTCCAAATAAAAAAATGTGTTCCCAAGAATACATGTAACTTTTCATTCTGAGGACTTTTCCCTGCAGAATATATAGGCTAAAGTGCCTTGTTATGCCTGCACTAAGTTTTGCCATTGTCGATCAAGTTTTGGCAGGGCTTCCCAATTGGGATAGGCACGGTGATGCGAACAATCTCCCGCAAGGCTGCCGGTGGCCACAGTTCTTGAATAAACCTGAGGGCTCTGATTTTTCAATCAACCTGAGAGCAAATTTGGATTGCACTGTTGAAAATTTGGTAGTATGAGAATGAGGAAGTGAGCAAGTACTAAATTATGGACATCCCACCTCTATCTTCAAATAGCTATCCTTGGGAGGATGATATACCGGGAGGAGCCTTGTTCAACTAACTCGGGGTCAGGCCATAGCTATTGATCTGGTACAGTTTTGCCTTCAGTTGCGCAATCCAACTTACCAAAGGAACCACACACTAGATTTCAACCATGTCGCTTGAAAAATAAAATAAAATATCCAACCGAGACTCTTGAATGAATGACAGAGGCAACTTGAAAGGAGGTGTAGAATAATGGCCTGGTGGTGTAACAGCAACACATCTCACCTCTTTGGGCCCTACTTTGAGTTGTATGCTCATGGGAAGATTCCTTGTTCGATTCAAGGTCAGACCATACGTATCAACTGCGTCTCTTTTCTGCCTTTTTTTTTATCCTACGCGACCTTCCTCGTAGTCATTGAGCAGATGGCCTCTGAAACAAGCAAAGGCCGCAATCATTTATGTAATGGACACCAAGTAGGTGTGGAAGATATAGAAATTTGCTTTGAAACTGTGTGTATGCAATTGAAGGAGGGTGTTCACACATTGGCCCCCAGATTTATAGGAATGGCCTGATGGTGTAACGGTAACACATCCCCTCTCATTGAACAGATCTTCTTGAACAATTTAACGGGAAGACCCTTGTTCAATTCAAGGTCAGGCCATACGTATCAACTGCGTCACTTTTTTGCTCTTGCTCTTGCTTCGATTGCCAATGTTTCCCAGGCCAGTGCAATGAGTTAGTTAGATATCATCTTTTGTGTCAGGGACAAGTGTTCCGAACCTGTGGCACCCTCCTCACCTAGTTTTGGTAACAGAACAAGCAGTAGAGTTGGAAACACAATTTACAGTAAATGGAATCTAACTGGACACACAATCTGGCTGTGCTTTAGGTAGGTGTGTAAGGGGGTAAAGGCAAGTACTGCTGTGGCCTGATGGTGTACTTGTAACACATCCTACTTCATTATTGGATCATCACATTGTGTTGTTAGGAAGTTCCTTGTTCAACTCAAGGTCAGGCCATACATGGACACTGTCCAATTTCTTTTTCCCGGACCCCTCTCTTTCGAAATTGAGTGACCTCCAGTTTCCATCAGTCTGGGACACACAAAATAAGAACAAAGCAGATCTGAACCATTAGGGGAAGTCAAAGCGGTCGGACAACTCTGATTCTCAACCCGATTCTGCACTGATTCTCCACCGATTCTGTTTGAAGAATCGGACAAGAATCGAAGAGTAAATACCCCATTTCAAACCCGATCCTCAGGTAGATGACAAATTCAACTTTCACCTCGGATAATTACAAGACTCCCCCTGTGATGTATGGCGGTCAGAGTGCACCTTTACTAGATTTTTCTGTCTTCCCACCCTTCATCTTCGTTACCGCTTACCCTATCTAGCTAGTCATCCGTAGTCTCCCTCTCCATCGCTCCCTCCTCGTCGCTCTCCTCTCTCTACCTACGTTCATATTACCTTCATCATCCAATATCACACTAGGCTTCCTTCGGGAAGTCGTTTTACGGCGGCAAATCCTCCGGCAGCAGCGGCAGCGCGAGCTCCACTAGCCTCCGTGATTCTCGTGATTCTCGCCACCGCGACTCCCGATCTGTCGGCGGCTCCAGGTCTAAACCCGGGAAATCAACGGAGGCGTGCCGCCTCTGGAACCAGAACGTCTGCAACCGCACCGACGACGACTGCCGAAACCTCCACATCTGTTCGGGCTGTCGCAAAAATCACCGCATCGCCGACTGCCCCAACAAGTAATTCCCACGCCCTTCGAGGTGTGCGCGGCACATTCCCGCGGTTCTGTTGCGCCGCCGTTCCATCTTCCCTTTCTACGCATTGTCTTAAACCCCCTCGAATTGCGCTGGGGGCGACCAAAAAATGATCTTCACACTGTCTCCCGGTTCACGCCAACCTCCCGGGAGGAAGGCGTGGACCATCGCGAAGCTCGTCCACGAACGAGCCATCGCACTCGGCTACGCCATCGATAAATCCAGTAACCTGACTTACACCTCGGCGCTCAACTCTTACATCAACTTCTGCACCCTGCACGCATTTCCCATCCAACCTACGGAGGACACCATGTCCTTCTTCGCAATCTACATGTGTCACCACATCGCCCCAAAATCTGTCGACTCTTACCTCTCGGGTATATGCAACCAACTCGAATCAACCTTTCCCAATGTTCGCGAAATCCGCTGTTCACCTCTGGTGAAAAACACGCTCAAGGGCGGCAAACGGCTCTTCGGCCGCGGCACAAAGCGTAAAGGGCCACTTTCCACCGTTGATCTTCTCACCGTCGAACGGGCTCACCAGGCGCAACCGACGCGCTCACACGACGACAATCTGTTCGTCGCCATGCTCTTTACCGGCTTTGATGGGCTGCTGCGCTTGGGCGAACTCGCCTGGCCAGACACCGTCGCCCTGCGGAACTGGAAGAAGGTCATTCGCCGGGCCTCCCTCATCATTTCCGACACCAATTCTTCGCTCGGGCTCTTCCTCCCCGGCCACAAAGCGGACAAGTTCTTTGAAGGCAATCAAATTATCATCACATCCCGAGCCGACCCGAACTTAACACCGTGGGGAAGGTCCAGCGGTATTTGATTTCACGCAATTGCCTCTTCCCACATCATCCCGCTCTATGGGTCCGCGAGAACTCCCAGATACCCACACGCGCCTCCGCGCTCACTTTGGCGCCGACATCGCGGGCCAGTCAATGCGCGCAGGCGGCGCCACTTCTCTCGCCGAGGCTGGGGTGCCGCCACATCAAATCCAAGCCATCGGGCGATGGGCGTCGAACACCTTCCAAATTTACATGCGCAAAAACCCAACCCTACTACAGTCGATGCTGTTCGGAGGTCGTTCAGTCCACGACGGACCGGCTCCCCGTGAGCCCGTCGTTTTCCCTCTACCTACCTAATTCCTCCATTCCCTCCTTTCCACATATCACTTCCTCTGTTCCCTCCCTTCCACATATCACTTCCTCTCACCTCGCCCTCCCCTACTCTTGTCTCGCCTCAATCTCACCCCAAATCTATAAAAAATCTAAAAAATCTAAAAAATCTATAGGGAATACCCATTTCTTCGCTCCTCCCTCGTTCTCTCTCCGCCTCCTCCTTGCTACATTCCCCCTCTCTCGGTACTCTACATACACCTCTATCAGAAATTCTATCGGGGCTTCCTTCGGGAAGCTGCATTTCGGCTAAACACGCTATCCTGAGTTCAACGAAGGCCTGGGAAACCACGGGTCTCCGAGCGCGCGCCGCGCTCGTTTACCCCCAGACGGCCGAGCCTCTGGTTCTCGAACTCAGAGCGATTAGATGGGTGAATTTTCGTTTTTGGCATTTTTTTCGCAAGGCTGAAGAATTTTTTTGAGAGGTTCAATTTTTTTTCCATCAGACAAGATTTTTTCTTGGAGGTAAGATTTCCATTTACGCACAGGATGTGTTTTTAGGTGGGTTGAACAAAATTTGATCTCGGCTGTTGATCAGCCATGATCGGCATCTCGGCAACATAGCTTCGGCTTTCAAACTGTTGGTTGAGTAGGACCTGTGCTGGGCCTTGGATCTCTGGTTGTCTCATAGACACACTGCAGCTAATGACCATCCTCTCGAGCACGTTGTGATGAGCCTCCTTCTGATTAGGGCAGCCCAACCTGAACAGGTCCAAGCAAAGACCAAGTACAGACCATCTACTCACAATGTTGAATGCACTTAAGCTCCAACAGTCTCAGCTCATTTGGGCATGGGGAGCTACAGGTAGCGAGCTGACGTCCCTACGACAATGGATGAGTGAGGCTCAACGTAGAACTTGCGCAGAACCGGGAGCGGATCTTGGAAGTGATTGATCCGACCGGCACAGCCACAGCGGCCCGACGAAAAAGTTCAACTGGAGCAAAAAGAATAAACTGAACATTGAGGGAATCAAAACACTTGCTGAAAAAAAAATCTTCCCTCCGAAAAAAAAAACTACTGCCCCAAAAAATCTTCACCTTGAAGGGAAAAAACCCACCAAAAACCGAAATTTACCCTGTTTTATTAAAGATGCACTCTGACCGCCATAGTGATGTGCCTGATGCACTGCTGTCCATCGTGTTGACATCGCCCAACGTATTCCCAGTTGGTCTGCGCAGTTCTAAATGCCGCCCTTTTGCGTTTTTATTTGCTCAACTGGAGGTTTTTTTGGTGTTATTCTAATCATGGAGGTCCCTACTGCGGTGGGCATTGTTGTCGAGCTGGAAAGGAATATACTGAATTCAGTCGGGCGTGCACAGCGCCGGGACACCAGAAGTTTAGGGCAGGTACCGATTCTGAGGCCGATTAAAAACGCGATTCTTGCGAGTTCCTCCTCTGGACACCGACTCCCACCGATTATTTTTTGATCAATTTTCGATTGATTTTGAGACCAGAATCGATGTTCAAATCGGCAACAGAATCGGTTTCAGAATCGGTCGCGCAGACCGCTTTGACTTCCCCTATTGTTGAAGAAAAAAAACCCAATATTCAGCTCTGACAGCGCTTACATTCAAACCAGTGATCATGAGTATAGACAGAGGGAGATATGTACCTGTAAGCCAATGGCCTGATGGTGTAACAGTAACACATCCCTGCTCAATAATTGGCCAGCCATGAGCATTCAGGGAAGACCCTTGTTCAACTCAAGGTCAAGCCATCCCCATGTTCTGAGAAGTTTTTGTTTTGTTTTCATCCGATCTTGGTCCGGGTTCCGGACGGATCAGAATATCTTGCCCAGTTCATTCTCAGTTGAATCATCCTCGACTCAGACGGTTTTCAGCATGGTTGAATTGACTGAACGAAGTCGGCGACACTACAACATGCCGAGACCGGCGGAGTTTGATGTGTTCTCACGAGTCGCGGTCTGTTCCGTACTCTCATCTCTGCTGTAACGCCGCCGTTCTCGACTCAACAAAGCCTTTCTTTGCAACTCCAAGACAGTGTCAAATTGAAAATTAACACAAGATCTTGCACAGAAAGGCTCTAGTAGACTCTCAGGCTTGAGTTTGCCTTCCAAGTTCCCTGCTTCGCCACGCAGAACGAAGTACTCAAATGCCAAGTGGCGTAGGCGCTCAAAGCACTGATTACCACACATCCAGGTTGGAGCTGTACGCCTGGTTCCTATGACTGGAACAAAGAATGACGAGTGAATTCCACCACTGGTCCCCTCCGAGGTGAAACCCACTCACTCCAAGTCCGACTCAGAGCGCGGCCTGCTTTGAGTTTCCAGATTTCTGATATGTATCCACCTGAGCTCTTGCGTTCTCAAGGAGCCTTTGTCGGAAAAACCCCAGTGAGCTTGCAACGGCATGGTCCGGCATGGGACCATGGAACGGCTTCGGAGTGGTTCCAAGCCATGGCAGAGGCACTTAGAACCAGTTCCAAGCCGTTCAAATCCACCCTTCCAGTTCCAAGCACTCTCAGGCCGACTCAAGCCCTGTAGTATCTCCACGAAACTCTCGACGAGACAGAGAACAAATTTAATCATTATTATTCACTCGTTGATACAGTCGATAATTCCCATAGCGTCGTCGTTGTATCAGTACACAAACACTCTGAATTCACTTGTTCCCTCATATCGTCTGAATCGGGCGCAGTGGTGCGAACACGAATGAATTGAAGTAGATAATACAATTCAGCTGCCTAGGCACCCTTCGGCGTAACGGTTTCCTCGTTCCCAGCGGACGCGGTGAGGCAGATGTGCGGAGGCGTAATCGGCGCTGGAACGGACGACGCAACCGCTGGATTTTCTCCGCCACGCAATTCGCGATTTCGTCGCGTTCCGGCGTGGTCGCCATCAGCGAAGTGTGGCTCGGCGTCTCAGGCTCGGCGCCGCGGAGCGGGAGGCGTGCGTTGGGGGGATTCAGTAGCTCTACTTCGCTCTTTATGTACAGCAAGTCGGGGCATCATTACAAACAGAGTCTGTTAAACGCACTGTGGCCCGCTAGAACACTGAGATCGTGTCTGAGTTCCCCCATCTTAGCCTCCAGCCTGCAAAGACGTATT